CAAACGAACAAACACACAGCAAGATATGAGTGTCACCAATACTTAGCCTTATCTCTATGATTTAGCGTTTTCAGCGAAAATAGAGCACTTTTAGCGTAAATACAATGTATTTTAGTAATTAGGCAATCATCCCTTGATATTTTGAAACCAGCGCCTGAAGCCAAGGTTTAGAACTCGGTAAGATCTTTCCAACGAGATATTAAACGCTTTCAACGGCGCAAAATAGAGCAAGATATGATCGCATCAAATTCTACTCGGGTTCGGAGTGAAATCAGAAACATTTGTGAATATATCGTTAATCTGTAACTTTTAATTAATGAATTGTAAATGAAGTTGAAACAATAGCTTTAGATCTCCGATCTATCTTTAAAACGAGATATAATACGCTCCAAACGGATAAACACACAGAAAGATATGAGTGTGACAAATACTTAGCCTTATCTCTATGATTTAGCGTTTTCAGCGAAAATAGAGCACTTTTAGCGTAAATACAGTGTAGTTTAGTAATTAGGCAATCATCCCTTACTATTTTGAAACAAACGCCTGAAGACAAGTTTTAGAACTTGGTAAGATCTTTCCAACGAGATATGAAACGCTTTCAATGGCACAAAATAAAGCAAGATATGATCGCATCAAATTCTACACGAGTTCGGAGTGAAATCACAAACATTTGTGAATATATGGTTAATATGTAACTTTTAACTAATTCATTGTAAATGAAGTTGGAACAATAGTTTTAGAGCTCCGATCTATCTTTCCAATGAGATATAATACGCTCCAAACTGATAAACACACAGCAAGATATGAGTGTCACAAATACTTAGCCTTATCTCTATGATTTAGCGTTTTCAGAGAAAATAGAGTACTTTTAGCGTAAATACAGTGTATTTTAGTAATTAGGCAATCATCCCTTTATATTCTGAAACCGGAGACTGAAGACAACTTTTAGAACTCGGTATGATCTTTCCAACGAGATATTAAACGCTTTCAACAGCACAAAATAGAGTAATATATGATCACATTTAATTTGACATGAGTTCGGAGTGAAATCAGAAACATTTGTGAATATATGGTTAATCTGTAACTTTTAATTAATGCATTGTAAATGAAGTTGGAACAATAGCTTTAGAGCTCCGATCTATGTTTCCAACGAGATATAATACGCTCCAAACGGATAAATACACAGCAAGATATGAGTGTCACAAATACTTAGCCTTATCTCTATGATTTAGCGTTTTCAGCGAAAATAGAGAACTTTTAGCGTAAATACAGTGTATTTTAGTAATTAGGCAATCATTCCTTGATATTCTGAAACCAGAGCCTGAAGCCAAGTTTTAGAAATCGGTAAGATCTTTCCAACGAGATATTAAACGCTTTCAACGGCACACAATAGAGCACGATATGATTGCATCACATTCTACACGAGTTCGGAGTGAAATCATAAACATTTGTGAATATATGGTTAATCTGTAACTTTTAATTAAAGCATTGTAAATGAAGTTGGAACAATAGCTTTAGAGCTCCGATCTATCTTTCCAACGAGATATAATACGCTCCAAACGGATAAACACACAGCAAGATATGAGTGTCACAAATACTTAGCCTTATCTCTATGATTTAGCGTTTTATGCGAAAATATTGCACTTTTAGCGTAAATACAGTGTATTTTAGTAATTAGGGAATCATCCCTTGATATTTTGAAACGAGCGCCAGAAAACAAGTTTTAGAACTCGGTATGATCGTTCCAACGAGATGTTAAACGCCTTCAACGGCAAACAATAGAGCAAGATATGTTCGCATCACATTCTACACGAGTTCGGAGTGAAATCATAAACATTTGTGAATATATGGTTAATCTGTAACTTTTAATTAAAGCATTGTAAATGAAGTTGGAACAATAGCTTTAGAGCTCCGATCTATCTTTCCAACGAGATATAATACGCTCCAAACGGATAAACACACAGCAAGATATGAGTGTCACAAATACTTAGCCTTATCTCTATGATTTAGCGTTTTATGCGAAAATATTGCACTTTTAGCGTAAATACAGTGTATTTTAGTAATTAGGGAATCATCCCTTGATATTTTGAAACGAGCGCCAGAAAACAAGTTTTAGAACTCGGTATGATCGTTCCAACGAGATGTTAAACGCCTTCAACGGCAAACAATAGAGCAAGATATGTTCGCATCACATTCTACACGAGTTCGGAGTGAAATCAGAAACATTTGTGAATATATGGTTAATCTGTAACTTTTAATTAATGCATTGTAAATGAAGTTGGAAAAATAGCTTTAGATCTTCGATCTATCTTTCCAACGAGATATAATACGCTCCAAACGGATAAACACACAGCAAGATATGAGTGTCACAAATACTTAGCCTTATCTCTATGATTTAGCGTTTTCAGCGAAAATAGAGCACGTTTAGCGTAAATACAGTGTATTTTAGTAATTAAGACATAATCCCTTGATTTTTTGAAACCAGCGCCTGAAGTCAAGTTTTAGAACTCGGTAAGATCTTTCAAACGAGATATTAAACGCTTTCAACGGCACAACACAGAGCAAGATATGATCGCATCATATTCTGCACGAGTTCGGAGTGAAATCAGAAACATTTGTCAATATATGGTTAATCTGTAACTTTTAATTAATGCCTTGTAAATTAAGTTGGAACAATAGCTTTCGAGCTCCGATCTATCTTTACAACGAGATATAATACGCTCCAAACGAATAAACACACAGCAAGATATGAGTGTCACCAATACTTAGCCTTATCTCTATGATTTAGCGTTTTCAGCGAAAATAGAGCACTTTTAGCGTAAATACAATGTATTTTAGTAATTAGGCAATCATCCCTTGATATTTTGAAGCCAGCGCCTGAAGAAAAGGTTTAGAACTCGGTAAGATCTTTCCAACGAGATATTAAACGCTTTCAACGGCGCAAAATAGAGCAAGATATGATCGCATCAAATTCTACTCGGGTTCGGAGTGAAATCAGAAACATTTGTGAATATATCGTTAATCTGTAACTTTTAATTAATGAATTGTAAATGAAGTTGAAACAATAGCTTTAGATCTCCGATCTATCTTTAAAACGAGATATAATACGCTCCAAACGGATAAACACACAGCAAGATATGAGTGTCACAAATACTTAGCCTTATCTCTATGATTTAGCGTTTTCAGCGAAAATAGAGCACTTTTAGCGTAAATACAGTGTAGTTTAGTAATTAGGCAATCATCCCTTACTATTTTGAAACAAACGCCTGAAGACAAGTTTTAGAACTTGGTAAGATCTTTCCAACGAGATATTAAACGCTTTCAATGGCACAAAATAAAGCAAGATATGATCGCATCAAATTCTACACGAGTTCGGAGTGAAATCACAAACATTTGTGAATATATGGTTAATATGTAACTTTTAACTAATTCATTGTAAATGAACTTGGAACAATAGTTTTAGAGCTCCGATCTATCTTTCCAATGAGATATAATACGCTCCAAACGGATAAACACACAGCAAGATATGAGTGTCACAAATACTTAGCCTTATCTCTATGATTTAGCGTTTTCAGAGAAAATAGAGTACTTTTAGCGTAAATACAGTGTATTTTAGTAATTAGGCAATCATCCCTTTATATTCTGAAACCGGAGCCTGAAGACAACTTTTAGAACTCGGTATGATCTTTCCAACGAGATATTAAACGCTTTCAACAGCACAAAATAGAGCAATATATGATCACATTTAATTTGACATGAGTTCGGAGTGAAATCAGAAACATTTGTGAATATATGGTTAATCTGTAACTTTTAATTAATGCATTGTAAATGAAGTTGAAACAATAGCTTTAGAGCTCCGATCTATGTTTCCAACGAGATATAATACGCTCCAAACGGATAAATACACAGCAAGATATGAGTGTCACAAATACTTAGCCTTATCTCTATGATTTAGCGTTTTCAGCGAAAATAGAGCACTTTTAGCGTAAATACAGTGTATTTTAGTAATTAGGCAATCATTCCTTGATACTCTGAAACCAGAGCCTGAAGCCAAGTTTTAGAACTCGGTAATATCTTTCCAACGAGATATTAAACGCTTTCAACGGCACACAATAGAGCATGATATGATTGCATCACATTCTACACGAGTTCGGAGTGAAATCATAAACATTTGTGAATATATGGTTAATCTGTAACTTTTAATTAATGCATTGTAAATGAAGTTGGAACAATAGCTTTAGATCTCCGATCTATCTTTCCAACGAGATATAATACGCTCCAAACGGATAAACACACAGCAAGATATGAGTGTCACAAATACTTAGCCTTATCTCTATGATTTAGCGTTTTAAGCGAAAATATAGCACTTTTAGCGTAAATACAGTGTATTTTAGTAATTAGGGAATCATCCCTTGATATTTTGAAACCAGCGCCAGAAGGTTCTCTGATTTGAAGCTTGGGTAGTGGTTCCGAGGGACTTCTGAGGCTGCTGAATACTGTCCTGAGCCAGTGTTGTGCTTCGTTCTGTGATTCATTTTATCTTCTTGTACGAAGCTTTGCTGTCTGCGTTTTTGGGGAAACCCTCTGCGGACTGTTATGGCCGGAAAAAAACAGGGGAAAAGTGTCGATGCTCCTTCTGTTAACACCAGGTCGAGAGTAGCAGCGGGATTCAACGTCTTGGAAGCTCTGGATGATGATTTCCCTCTCCTACAAGCTGGGAAGGCTGGGAAGCTCACACAGGGGAGTCCTAGAGGTCCTGGGAGTGGCTTTGACGGGAAAAGTCCTGCTTCTGCAACTGTTTTGGAGGGTACTCCTAAACCTGGGAACAAACAGGTCATTGGCCAGCGAGGGCTTGAGCAAAAGGAACAGGCAGACTCCTCTGTAATTGTGACTACGCAGCAACTAGAAACAGCTACTGGGATGATCCAACCTGCTGCTCCTGCTAGAACTGAGCCTGGCTCGGTTGTATTGGGCTCCAAAATTGCTGGGAAACTAACTGCAGCAGTTAATGAGGCTCATGATGATGCAAAACAGATTGAAGTGAGCAAACCGTGGACTACACTCTTTAAGAACAACCGAGCCCCATCTCATGGGATTAAACTGACTTACGTTCCTCCTAAAGGTAATTCCTTGGACTTTTCTGATAGGGTATTGCCATCCATGGTTGAGATGTGGGGATATTGTCTTGTTGGTTACTTCACAGGTCGATTCCCTGGTCTAAAAGCTATATATGAACTGAAATCTAAGTGGGGAGTAATCTGCCAAATCAAGAGACATGATAAGGGTTGGGTGATTTTTAAATTCCAAACTGAAGCTGACAGATTGAAAGTGTTAAAAGAGGGACCCTATGTCATATTTGGCAAGCTACTTATGTTGAAGGTTCTGTCGGAGGACTTCACATTTGATGATGAAGAGTTCCTTAAAGTGCCGATTTGGGTCAAATTCCCACGCCTACCAATGAAACTTTGGAATAAAGAAGCCATGAGTGAGGTAGCCTCTATGGTCGGGGTGCCACTAACTACGGATATGGTCACCCAAGAAAGGAGCAATCATAATTTTGCTAGAGTGCTTATTGAAGTTGATGCGTCGAAACCGCCCATGCTTTCATTTCCTATCCGACTGCCTTCCCGAAAGGTAATCAATCAATCGGTGGTTTATGAAACATTTCCAAATTTTTGTTTTCATTGCAAAAAATATGGGCACAACCCCTTTTCTTGCATAGAGATTTATGAGAAGGAAGAAATGGAAAAAAAGCTACTTGAGAAAGAAGTGAAGAAAACAAATGAGATTAGTGTGGTTGAAAGTGAGACCAAGGACACGGCACCCAATGAGTTTGAGGCAGGGGGTGAAGTCTCCGTTCCTGAAGATATTCCTCCTGCTGAGATTGTAAAAGAGCATACCCAAGAGGCTTTGACCGAGGCTGCCCAAGCTTCCCAAGATGCAACGGCTGCCCCAGTTCCAGTTGTAGTTCCAGTTGTCACGCCGAATATGGAGAGCTCAGACGAATATTCAGATGAGGTTCCTGATGAAGTAGAGGAGGAGGATCTGGATCAGCTAGATAGTAATGAGGTAGTGGAAGTTTATCGGGATGGGAAGATTTTTAAAATAAGGAAAAATGCTAAGGTGGATAGAAGGGGAATGATCAGGAGAATTCCGGGATTGAGCTGGGAGGAGACACTTGCTAGATTCAAAATTGCACCTAAATGAGCGTTATTAATTAATTTATTAATTAATAATGTTAGACTTTATGTGTTGATGTGACTTTCTGCGTTTGAATTTTTTTTTTTTTTTTTTTTTTTTTTTTTTTTTTTTGAGATGGGGTCTGTCCCATTGCTTTTCCGATAGGTTTTGTTTAAGCTAGATAGTTTCTAGCTTAGATGGACTTGAGTTTGGTCTTGACACATTGTAAAATGTTATTTTTGGGTGTTAATACAATTACCTTTCATCCAAAAAAAAAATTGAAACCAGCGCCAGAAAACAAGTTTTAGAACTCGGTAAGATCGTTCCAACGAGATGTTAAACGCTTTCAACGGCAAAAAATAGAGCAAGATATGTTTGCATCAAATTCTACACGAGTTCGGAGTGAAATCAGAAACATTTGTGAATATATGGTTAATTTGTAACTTTTAATTAATGCATTGTAAATGAAGTTGGAACAATAGATTTAGAGATCCGATCTATCTTTCCAACGAGATATAATACGCTCCAAACGGATTAACACACAGCAAGATATGAGTGTCACAAATAATTAGCCGTATCTCTATGATTTAGCGTTTTCAGCGGAAATAGAAGACTTTTAGCGTAAATACATTGTATTTTAGTAATTTGGAAATCATCCCTTGATATTTTGAAACCAGAGACCGAAGACAAGTTTTAGAACTCGGTAAGATGTTGCCAACGAGATGTTAAACGCTTTCAACGGAACAAAATAGAGCAAGATATGATCGCATGAAATTCTACACGAGTTCGGAGTGAAATCAGAAACATTTGTGAATATATGGTTAATCTGTAACTTTTAATTAATGCATTGTGAATGAAGTTGGAACATCAGCTTTAGAGCTCCGATCTATCTTTCCAACGAGATATAATACGCTCCAAACGGATAAACACACAACAAGATATGAGTGTCACAAATACTTAGCCTTATCTCTATGATTTAGCGTTTTCAGCGAAAATAGAGCACTTTTCGCGTAAATACAGTGTATTTTAGTGATAGGCAATCCCCCCTCCTCTTTTTGATTTGTCTTGAGTATCTTTCTAGACTCCTTCATCACAGAACTAAAGTGCCCCCATTTAAGTTCCACCCAAAGTGTGGGAAACTTAACATCTCTCATGTTGCTTACGCTGACGATCTTATGCTGTTTTCTAGGGGGGATTTTCCTTCTATTAAAGTCCTTATGGACACTTTGGATGATTTTGGGAATGTTTCTGGCCTCAAAGTCAACTTTGACAAATCTGACATTTTTCTTTGTGTGCTGGCCGAGCATGATCTTAATCATATCCTTCATATGATTTACTTTAAGGAGGGGTCTTTCCCAGTTAGATACCTTGGTATCCCTTTAGCCCTTCTTAAGATTGCTGTTGCACAATATGCTCCATTATTGGACTCCATTACTAATTTTATTAATGCTTTGAACACTAAGACCCTTTCTTATGCGGGGAGAGTTGAGCTTATCAAATCTGTTATTCAATGGGTGCATTCTTTCTGGTTACAAGCACTCCCGATACCTAAGGCGGTACTTGATAGAATTACCTCTATCTGTCGTATCTTCCTTTGGGGGTGTAAGTATGCTAGAGTTGCATGGACTGATATTTGCCTCCCCAAAGAGGAAGGTGGTCTTGGTGTTCATGATACTCATACTTGGAATTCTGATTTACTTGCTAAAACGCTTTGGGATATCCACATAAAAAAGGATAACCTTTGGGTTAGGTGGATCCATGGGGTGTATCTTATTGGTAGACGTGTTTGGGAGTTCACACCTCATACAAGGGACTCCCAACTCATCAAAAAGATTGCTTTGATTAGAAATCAGATTCTGTCCCACTTTAGCAATGCTAATGATGCCATTGCTTTTCTTAATGGCTTCCAAACTAATGGGAAGCTTTCCTCGGCCAAAGTCTACAATCTCCTTAGAATTAAGGGGGGGACTCATATGTGGATGTCTTTCATTTGGAAGAATTACATCCCCCCAAATTCTCCTTCACGGTTTGGTTGGATTTCAGAGATCGGCTTGCTACTTTTGACAATTTACATCGTTTAGATGTTGTTAATATTTGTCCCTTTTGTAAGGGTGGTCCGGAAACAGTACATCACCTATTTTTTGCTTGTTCTTTTTCAGGTAAAGTTTGGCACAAAGTCAGGAGCTGGCTGGATATTCCAAGGGAGATGGGGACGTTGCATAGTGCGCTTAAATGGATCAAGAGTAAGAGGCAAGGTTCTGGCATCAAAGCTAAGGTGGCTAGGATTGCTTTTTGCTGTTCCATCTATTGGATTTGGAGGATTCGAAATGCCACCTTTTTGACGGTTTGGCTCCTAAAGAAGAGGATGTTTTTGCTACGATCCAGTACTTTGTTTACAAGATCCTTTACACCATTTATCCACATGAAAGTGTAACCTTTTAGGGTTCCTTTTGTTTGCCTTCCCTTCGTTGTTTTGGGTTGGCTGTTTTTGGTGCTGTTTTGGTTTTGCGTGCTTTTGCCTCCTTGGTGCAGCACCTTATTGCTTTTTAGGTGGTGTCTGCTGCTTTTGTTGTGTTTTGGATGCTGCTTTTAGGGTTATCCTCGTTGGGTAACCTCCATCTTTGTTTACTTTCTGCTTGTACATTCTTTTACCCCCCTCTTCTCTTTGGTGATTGCTTAATATACTTACAGTTTACCCAAAAAATTGAAACCAACGCCTGGATAAAAGTTTTAGAACTCGGTAAGCGCTTTCCAACGAGATATTAAACGCTTTCAACGGCCCAAAATAGAGCAAGATATGATCGCATCAAATTCTACACGAGTTCGGAGTGAAATCAGAAACATTTGTGAATATATGGTTAATCTGTAACTTTTAAATAATGAATTGTAAATAAAGTTGGAACAATAGCTTTAGAGCTCCGATCTATCTTTCCAACGAGATAAAATACGCTCCAAACGGATAAACACACAGCAAGATATGAGTGTCACAAATACTTAGCCTTATCTCTATGATTTAGCGTTTTCAGCGAAAATAGAGCACTTTTAGCGTAAATTCAGTGTATTTTAGTAATTAGGCAATTATCCCTTGATATTTTGAAACCAGCGCCAAAAGACAAGTTTTAGAACTAGGTAATATCGTTCCAACGAGATATAAAACGCTTTCAACGGCACAAAATAGAGCAAGATATGATCGCATCAAATTCTACACGAGTTCGGAGTGAAATCAGAAACATTTGTGAATATATGGTTAATCTGTAACTTTTAATTAATGCATTGTAAATGAAGTCGGAACAATACCTTTAGAGCTCCGATCTATCTTTCCCACGAGATACAATACGCTCCAAATGGATAAAGACACAGCAGGATATGAGTGTCACAAATACTTAGCCTTATCTCTATGATTTAGCGTTTTCAGCGAAAATAGAGCACTTTTAGCGTAAATACAGTGTATTTTAGTAATTTGGCAATCATCCATTAATATTTTGAAACCAGCGCCTGAAGAAAAGTTTTAGAACTCGGTAAGATGTTTCCAACGAGATATAAAACGCTTTCAACGGCACAAAATACAGCAAGATATGATCGCATCAAATTCTACACGAGTTCGGAGAGAAATCAGAAACATTTGTGAATATATGGTTAATCTGTAAGTTTTAATTAATGCATTGTAAATGAAGTTGGAACAATAGCTTTAGAGCTCCGATCCATCTTTCCAACGAGATATAATACGCTCCAAACGGATAAACACACAGCAAGATATGAGTGTCACAAATACTTAGCCTTATCTCTATGATTTAGCGTTTTCAGCGAAAATAGAGCACTTTTAGCGTAAATACTGTGTATTTTAGTAATTAGGCAATCATCCCTTGATATTTTGAAACCAGCGCCTGAAGACATGTTTTAGAACTCTATAATATCTTTCTAAAGAGATATTAAACGCTTTCAACGGCACAAAATAGAGCAAGATATGATCGCATCAAATTCTACACCAGTTCGGAGTGAAATCAGAAACATTTGTCAATATATGGTAAATCTGTAACTTTTAATTAATGCATTGTAAATTAAGTTGGAACAATAGCTTTAGAGCTCCGATCTATCTTTACAACGAGATATAATACGCTCCAAACGAATAAACACACAGCAAGATATGAGTGTCACCAATACTTAGCCTTATCTCTATGATTTAGCGTTTTCAGCGAAAATAGAGCACTTTTAGCGTAAATACAGTGTATTTTAGTAATTAGGAAATCATCCCTTCATATTGTGAAACCAGCGCCTGAAAAAAAGTTTTAGAACTCGGTAAGATCTTTCCAACGAGATATTAAACGCTTTCAACGGCGCAAAATAGAGCAAGATATGATCGCATCAAATTCTACACGAGTTCGGAGTGAAATCAGAAACATTTGTGAATATATCGTTAATCTGTAACTTTTATCTAATGAATTGTAAATGAAGTTGAAACAATAGATTTAGATCTCCGATCTTTCTTTCCAACGAGATATAATACGCTCCAAACGGATAAACACACAGCAAGATATGAGTGTCACAAATACTTAGCCTTATCTTTATGACTTAGCGTTTTCAGCGAAAATGGAGCACTTTTAGCGTAAATACAGTGTAGTTTAGTAATTAGGCAATCATCCCTTGCTATTTTGAAACAAACGCCTGAAGGCAAGTTTTAGAACTTGGTAAGATCTTTCCAACGTGATATTAAACGCTTTCAATGGCACAAAATAAAGCAAGATATGATCACATCAAATTCTACACGAGTTCGGAGTGAAATCACAAACATTTGTGAATATATGGTTAATATGTAACTTTTAACTAATGCATTGAAAATGAAGTTGGAACAATAGTTTTAGAGCTCCGATCTATCTTTCCAACGAGATATAATACGCTCCAACCGGATAAACACACAGCAAGATATGAGTGTCACAAATACTTAGCCTTATCTCTATGATTTAGTGTTTTCAGCGAAAATAGAGTACTTTTAGCGTAAATACAGTGTATTTTAGTAATTAGGCAATCATCCCTTTATATTCTGAAACCAGAGCCTGAAGACAACTTTTAGAACTTGGTATGATCTTTCCAACGAGATATTAAACGCTTTCAACGGCACAAAACAGAGCATGATATGATCGCATCACATTCTACACGAGTTCAGAGTCAAATCAGAAACATTTGTGTATATATGGTTAATCTGTAACTTTTAATTAATGCATTGTAAATGAAGTTGGAACAATAGCTTTAGATCTCCGATCTATCTTTCCAACGAG